TGCTGTACATGCTGACTATTATTGACCCGGTTCTCTATTGATGTAGCGGAAAGAAAAGTATTTTGGGGGAGGGATAGCGGGTCAAGGTTTTAATGACGCATTTTAAACACTGGACTAAGTACATGAACCGTAGCTCTCGTTTCCTGCTGTTTGTTCTTAAGAGTCCCTTTGCTACCATTTAGCATTTCCGAATAGGACACCTATCAGAGAGCGCGCAAGTTTTTTCAATCGAGTCTATTAGCACAATATGACGTACAATGCCAGCGACGGGGAGACAAACTCGGAATGCTTCAGCCTTGTGGTCGAAGTACTACCGTAATTAAACGCTTGCATACTACATAGAAGAGATAAATGGTAGAGTGCTCTTACCTCAGACTTCCGGGACAGAGATCTATAATTTTTGTCTACAAGAGGAAGTGAAAACAGTCCACTGAAATATATAGAGAAATCAAGTATTAGTAGATAGTGATGGCAGACACTTGCATTTATCCAGGAGCAAAATATGATACTTCACTCCGATGTACTAAAAAAAAAAAAGATTTAATTTTTTTTAAAAAATATGCTGGTTCCAATACAGGGCTTTATTTTATATGGTAAGAAATCTGTAATTAGAAAGAGACAATCATCTAAAGGCAAACCTTGTGAAACAAGGTTTCCCAATCTTGGCAATTTTAAGATATGTAGATTTAAACTTGTAGATTTAAACTTCCAGATTTCCTCTACAAACAGCATAGCTGGGAAATTCCATGCATCTTAAATTTACCAAGATTGAGAAACACTGCTATAAAGTAATTCACTCCTGATGTTATAGGCTGGGTTGGAGTTCAGTTCATTCTCCTTGCTATAAAACAGCGGTCATTCTGAACAACATCAAGCTCCGCACACTGTATTCCCTAGGCAGCTCAATCCAGCTGTTAAGCATACCTAAGCTTGATGAGCCAGGAGCCTTGTAAATCAGCAGTAAACTGTGCATATATTTATGTTTCTTCTGTCATGTCCAATTCTCAGAGACTGTCTGGGCAAATCCTTGCAGTTTTCTTGACAAGGTTTTTCAGAAATAGTTGCCATTGCTTTTTCCTAGGGTTGAGAGGAAGTAACTTGGCCTAGGATCACCCAGTTAGCTTTGTACCCAAGGCAGGACTAGAACTCATGTCCTCCCGGATTATAACCTGATGCCTACACCAAACAATAGAAGAAGGGAACGACAGAAAATGAGGTGGCTGGATGGAGTCACTGAAGCAGTAGATGTGAGCTTACATGGTAGAGGACAGGAAGGCCTGGAGGAACATTGTCCATGGGTTCGCGATGGGTCGGACACGACTTTGCAACTAACAACAACAACAACAACAAACTGGTTCTATTAGTTACAGAACTTCAATTATAAATACATTGGATAGCATTCCCCTGCTTAGGATCATCACTCCTGCAGTGCATCAGTGCCTATAGCTGCTAGCCTTGTATGGCTTATTCAATAAACCATAGTTAAATACAGATGATTTAACATGATTCAACCCTTCAGCTCATTACTGATTACTTAAACATTTAAAATTTTATTTAAAGACTGCCTGACTCCCAAACCATTCTGAGCAGCTAACAAGTAAAAACCCAACTGATTAAAAGAATTTAAAAAAAACCACAAGACTGGAAAAGCAAAATATAAAAAGGCAAAGCAAACCCAAAAACTGTAAAAAAAAAAAAAGGGGGGGGGCTGGCAAAATAACCGGATCTTCAAACAGCACCTGAACGATGTAAGGATGGGAACCACAGTAATTTTTGGAAGCCAGTCTTAATAGTTTCTCTAAATTTCAATCAGAATACGTAAAATCCTACCGAAATGTCTTTTTGCAGTCAGTCGGCAACAATGCTATAAATGCCAGCACGCCCAAATACCGATATAGGCCCTAGGGCAGGGGTAGGCAACCTTGGCTTTTTTATGACTCGTGGACT